ACTTGCTGACCAGCATGTCGCTGAATGAACCCGAAATAACATGTAGGAACTTTTCACTCGCGCGTCTCTTCATAGCATCCGCCTCCTGGTGCCCCTGACCGAGGAAGCGCAGCCCATGGATAATCTTCGTGTGACCGAGAAGGTAGTTGATTCCATGCTCGATTGGCTGGATAAGCACATCTATCACCATGGCCCCCCTGGGTGAATTCAGGCTTGGTGCACTCTTCAATGACCAATTGCCGCCGCAGTTTGTTTTGGGCAGCATACCCCTGATCAATGTCCAGTGTGTCCTGCAAAAGCTGTTGGAAGTCTGCATCCACCCCTTGGAACCCAGTTTCAGTCAACAACGCGTCTGCAAGAGATGTAACCTCATTGCTCGGGGTGCAAGACTGTAACTCCTGAAGCGCCTGCGGAAACAGAGCAAAGAAGGCACACGCAAAACGCATCCATGAGGATGCGGCTCCATAATGCTTCATCCGATACAACAAAGGTGTTTGAAACCCTCGGCCGTAAAAAGCAACGACATGGCTGAGCAGTTTGCACAAAGACTCTTCTTGTGAATCACAGCAAGGGCGGTCACCGCCAATGAGACAGTAGTGGATCACTTTTGTTCCACAGGAGTTGCCATTAGCAAATCGCACAAGCTCCTCCAACGCTTGCTTAGTCGTCTTGGCATTGGTGATGAAGTCGCGTGTAAGCCACGCCGCTCGCCTTTGCCATGCATCCATCTCTGGTGGGTATTCATAGACTGGCACTCCTTGGATAGCTCGAGTGGCAAGGTCATTCAAAATGTCACTGTTACTATCCCTTGACGGAGATTTAGGAATCGGAATATGATAAAAGGACCAAAGGGGTTGTGGCAAGAGCCAAGGCACGAATGAACATCCCGGGCTTCTGGAGCAAAGAAACAAAGGCACTGGCGAGACTGCGTCGAAACGAAGACTGTTCGAAAAGGTGGCCTAGTCTCACAAGAGTAGTCCAGAAAGCTTTCACACTCAGTACTGTGGGTTTCCTGACCAATGACAGCTGGTGGTTGCAGCACTTCAACCTCAACCCAAGGCAAGCGGAACTGACATTGTCTTGGATTGCCTTCAATCGGTGCATCCTCTCAATCCGCCAGGCAGAGTCGTTGGCACGCAACGCGTCGCCGATGAAAACACATGTCTTCCAGGGAACTGCACTAAATGCATCCCTTTGTAGTCCAAGTCTGTGCCAAATGGTTCCAATGCCACGGGCACTAAGGGTAGACCAAGAGGTAAAGGCTTTGTGTATGTACTCTGCTTTTCCTGCTCTCAAAACTCTCACTGGCGTTGGAATGTACAACGCTTCCCACGACCCGCCTTTGAACCTCACATGGGTGCATTCAACAGTGTTGCAAACAGTATAGACTGAACTCCTCCCAAGACCACTGGAGCGCATCTTGGTGTTCGTGTCGTCACACACGCATGTATGAAGGACATGCTGTGGAGGAGAACCGTGGCTGGAGTTCAGTAAATGGCAAACAGCGGTCTTCAAGCGAAGCAAGAAACTCCACACACATCGTGCGCGGTCCCTTGAATATTGCTGCTTCATATCACTGTCGCTGTAGTGTGGTTTGTGCTGCTTCCCGTGCTGCGTGAAAAAACCGCTGTTGCAAAGTAGCGGCGTAGCTGCCATTCTTCCCACGTTCAACTTGGTCAGTCTGGTCCAAGTTGACTTTGTTGGACAAGGACTTGAGCGCTTTGGCTGCACGTGCTCCTGCGCATTGAAGTCGTCGCTTCAACAACTTGACATGTTCAATCTCTGGCTGGGCTTTCTCTGAATCTTCTTCAGAGACTGAGGGGGGTAGGTGAGCCAGGGCCATGGCCGATAATGTCGAGAATTGGCATTTGATGCTAACCTAAGATCACTAAGCTTTCCCCCCGAATCCGAATTCAACGAAACTTTGCTGAAGTCATACTCAAACAAAGCTGCGCAAAGACCGAACCCAAAACCTGAGACCATATCATATAGTATATATTATTTCATATATCATATTGTAATAAAATATCTTTTATCAGATTTATCAAATCCTATCATATCCTATCATCTCATAGATACTGCCATACTACCCTGAATGACTCCACCTTCACCTCTTGAAATTGCGCCTGCCGGCCTGCTCTATAGATGCTGCGGTGTCATGAGTGGTGATGGGTGACCAACGCCAACATGTCCCGGCTGGTTTCCAATATCCAGTCGTTTGGGGTATTTGGGACCCTTGATCTCAAGATCAGAAAGAAACTACTACAACAAATAACAAATTCCATCAATCAAAATCCAAATTCCGATCTAGAATCAAACACAGGATTCAACTGCCAAAAACATTCAATCCTGCCGAAATCCAGAATGGGGCCTTCCATCGCGCTCGAAAATGCTCATCGCAAGAGTCGGGCGGGAAGGCGTCGTAGATGCTGGCCACCTCCCGGTGTTAAAAAACTAACAGCCAGGTGAAACAAAAGAATCCTTGGGTCCGCTTCTGTGGTTGGTAGGTGATAGGTCAGGTCGGTGGACAGTTGAACTGCGGGCGTCGCGCCAACTAAGTCTCTAGTTATGGTTCCAAGCATTCTGCACCGCTTGCCTGCTCCATCAAGACAGTGCGTGGTCTGCGGAAACCTGACAGGTTGAGTCTGAGCCACTCCTCACACTCACACACATCACATGTCATCTAGTCAGCCTGGTCAGTCTGGTCAGTACAGTAGAAGGGTCATCATCAAATCCCACAAGACGACCAATGCCAACAAGAAACGAATATGGCGGCTAGCTTCCATAAAGGCCAGTCCGTCTTTGGTGCTGAACGGGTTGTAGGAAGGAAGCTTCCGTTTGCGATTCAAGCGGGAAAACGGCTGACATGGAGTGCCAGCGCAAAAGCAATCCTGCAAGGCATGCCATGTTGTGCCGACACAAACACTCTGCAGCCCTTCAGTTGCCTGCAAAAAACAATGGACAACATCATGTGTTTACTGTTTGGCACTGGTACCTCAAACACTATTAAAGCCACACCTGAGCCATCAAACGCCAGTCCTCCCGTGGCTCGCGCCCCAAACACTCACCCGCAGTACTGGGAGGATGCAGCAAGCAGGCTGGGCCGCCAGCAGCGTACATGGCGTCCCCAATGTCCGGAAACATGTGGCAGACTCGGTCGGCAAGAAAGGTTCAGGATAATGCGACTTTTCACGTTCCCGACTCCCGACTCAGTTTCGTATAGCTTCAAGTTTCTCAGCAAAAACATTGACAAAAGTTGCCCGAACGTCAGGCAAGCAAGTAGCTGTCCATGGGAAAGTTGGTCATCATGTACTTTTGCTTCATTTTGTCATGCTCCAAGGCAGCAAGGGTCTTGGAACGGATGTTCATCTGGCCCGCCAGCTCTCTCCTAGGTGTTCTTTGCAAACTATCAATCCATGAACTCACCTTTCACATCTCTTAGACTCTTATGTTTACAACTTCGACTCTGACTTGAGCTTTGCTGGTTTTTCGTAGAGTAGAACTGGAGCGCTTAAACTGCATCAAAGACTCATAATGTATGTGGCAGTTGCACCGCCAGCACACCCCTCAATGAGAGTGATCCTTGGACATTGGCCGGCAGTTGTGATTGGACTCGTGCGTCAACCTAAACCTTGCCAATTACCATCTACGTCGTAAGATGTTCTTAGTAACAAGCAGCCTGACCTTCAACTCTCGATCCGTGGGCCCCTGAGCCCTTTCACAAACACCCTCACCAGAACCCCAAAACAATTGGAACCAGGACACGGTTGATGCTCGCCAATGAGGTTAGGCAGCCCTAGTGTATCACGATACAAAGCAGCCCAGTTGAAGCACGGCAGATCGTGAAGATCAAGGTCAGGAATCCGGTTCCTTAGAGAACACTAACACTATATTTCATTCAGGGCTTAGTACTTGGTAGTCACAATATTGATTAAAAGGCCCTACAGACCTAAGAAGAAGAGGAGGAAAAGGGTTGAAAATGGCAAAGACCAAGTTTCTCATCACTGCCAGCTGCAAAGCTCTCCATGGTAACTGTGCCCTGTTGTCTTGGGACTAGTCTGACCAGTCCAGACAAAGTAACTAACCGAAACACCCTGGAACCACAGCTGCATGCCAGAAGCGTACTGTGTGACTCATGCGGCATGCAGCATGCACGTGAGGCCACAAAATACAAGGCCCTCTTTTAGGTTACCCACAACATTACACACTCAAAATCCAGCCATTTTTTTTGCAATGACAGCAGGTGACACGTGTTGAAACTCCTACCTACCACGATCCTTTACACAAATTTAAATTCCCCTTCGTCTCTGTTTCTTCAGGCTTGGGGTTGGAGGTGGTGGGGGTATTGGCAATCTGCATAGCCTCTCAGCCAAACGTAGGACGGGACCAAATCGTGGAGGTGGCGGAGGCGTAGGCAGCAGGTAGTGCTTTGGCACTGGAGGTGGAGGAGGAAGTAGCTGTTCAACGCACTTTGGTGGTGCCGGAGGTGGTTTTGGAAGATTGTAGATCCTCCTCTTGCTGAATCTCTTGATTCGGACCCTCCTTCTCACTTTGATTTTGACTCTTTTCTTCAGCTTAGCCATTCTCTTTCTCACCAGGCCATTGCCCATAATCCATGGCAAAAGCTTGTGGCTTTTGGCACGTGTGGTTGCTCTTTCTAGGGCCCATGGCTGCAGCATGCTGCAGTTTAAGTGACAACAAAGAAAAGGAAGGTTGTGCAGTTTGTGTTTGTTTTAAAGGGTGCATGGGCCTCTGTAGATCCCCAATTTTATATATAGCTCCAAATAGCTCCAGGGGATTTATATATAGCTCCAAATAGCTCTAGGGTGATTTCTAGAGGACCAACATAAAGAGGCCCATGCACCCTCTAAATCAAGTATATAATCCGTTCTAGTCTTTGGGGCGAGATTTCGTCTTGGTGACATCGACCCCCAAATTGAAAGTCAGCACTTGTCACCCCGAGCAGCCCACCCAATAGCCTAACCTTCGATCCAAGCCACATCACGGCGCTTCCGGCTCGGTTGGGTGAAATTGCTGCTTTGGGCCGCTGACATGTTGCGGGGACGCACGCGTCAAGGGCGAGTCGGGAACCCATGAGGGCCGTAGAACATGGCGGAATCCCCAAGAGTTGGATGGCCTCAAGGTGGAGGCCCATCGCAGCAAGCTACCAGGTGGAGGCCATCGCTAGGTTGGAGATAACAAGAAGCTACACGTTTCTGATGGCTTGAAAACCATCCTACCAGAACCAGGGGACTTGTGGGCAAAGCCAAGGCGGGCCTTGCTCAGAGCCGCTTCTCAAGCAGCTGGAGGTGGGTCAAAAACCCCCAACAAACTGGTGCGACTCGCAGGGAATGACGGTGGCTGACCCCCCCAACTGCACCTGAGGGCCTTATGGATCCATTCCTAAATTCCTCGCGGGTCGCACCAGTCGGACCCAAATCTGACGCCCAAATCCGACGCCGGAGTTCGTCAGGTGCAGCGCAGCATCAAATCCCTCTTCTTCATCACACACCATCACACACCGTGACGCTCCGTCAACCGTCCTTTAGCCCAGGGCTTCAGCCGACACATCCAGAGAAACTGCATGGGATTGGCATAGGACTGCCGCCCCATTGACCCCAGGTCAACCACCCCTGGCCGTTTCTCGGCAGTCCGGACTGGCAGTCCCATTAGTCGTGTCTGGGCATCAAGAGAAACTCCTTAAAAATCCCTCCATCCGATGATCGATCAGGTGGATCCATCCCGGTCTCACCTCCTTTCACCAGGCGGTGAGTCCAGCTGACGCTGAGAGCACGATCGACACCCCACGATCCACTCCAGCTGGAGACGCCCCACGGTCACTGGCGCCACGGTGCAACGCGAGACGAGATCCCTTGGGTCCAAAACGCCACCAGCTGCTGTTTCCAGTCACCTTTTTGGAGCTCCTAATAGTGGTCTTGTCGCATCAGTGGGCATAAGTGACATAAGTGACTAAGGTCACTTTGAAGAACCAAGGTAGATTTAAAAAGACTTGACCACTAGGTAGATCGGTGAAAGAACCAGGTAGACAAAAACGTGAAGAAAGCGGAACTTTCAGAACCAGCCAGCCAGGCCCGAGTTCCTCACAGCTTCTTCCACCACTCCACCCTCCCGACCGATCACGACCGGATGCGCCGCGCATGGTCCTCGCCGTCGAACACGGCGCGTTCCTCGCGGAACATCTGGTCAGCCTGTGGGAGGTCGGTCCAGCCAAGCGGTACCGATTTGTTCTTTTCGAGGAAAGGTTGGGTTGGGGGTGTAAAAACGTATGATTCTTAGGTGAAATCAATGGATTCACACCGAAAATTCACGAGCATCTGAACGAAATGGAGGAGGAGGAGGAGGGTTGGGAAGGGCCCGAAGACAGGTTTCAATTGGTGACCTGTGAAGTCGGTGCTGGATTAGGGTATAGATTGGGGCGGCATAGGCCTTTCGTCCTTTCCCTTCAGTGTGAAGAGGAGGAAAGAAAACGTACCAAAGACCGATGCAACAACGACTCTGGGACGTCTGGATTTGTCTTCATGGTCGATTGTTCACTGAAAACAATTGAGGAATTGAATCTTGAATCGTCCATGGATGCTTGACTGACCAAGAATAACTAATGCCAAAGGAGTTCCCCAGTGGAGGGATCTCTATGAAGCCACACCTTGCCTGCCTCGAACCATGCAGTTTGTACATGTTTGTACTGCATGGGACATGTTGATTGCTGGGCTACAGTACTCAGAGTGAGCAACTCCAAGAGGTACCACATGTCTCACAAGCCAGTGGTCATCCTAACATGTCTTTGCAAGGTACAAAGTCTGTGGAACTAAGGATTCAACGACAAACCATCTGTATTCATCTGTTGCTTTTTCATGACGCGTCCAGCGACGCGTCCGTGGCCGACGCGTTTTACGCGACGATGAGTTTTGGGGCGCAACGACGTGCTTGAAAGAAAAGGGCCCAGCTCTTCCCGACCAGGTACGCCAAGGGGCAGCAAGAGAAGTCTGATCTGATCAAAAAAAAGTTGACCTTGAGGGCTACATGTATACTACTTAAGTACGTGCTGCATATCATGCTTTCTCTAACTGGAAAGCAAAATGCCCCAAATTGTCTGGTCAGAGTCATTATGGGAGAAGCCGTAGTGTTCAGTTTCGTTCGTTCAAATACTTGTTTTACCTGGCTGGAATCACCCCCACAAATGATCAAATCAAAAGAGCGTGGCATGCCTACCCGTAGCAAAACCTTTGCTTTTCAACATGTTGTTGAACAAAAAGAACTAAAATGCATCTAAAATGCCGTAGCAACTCTCACATGAGTGGCTCCAAATAATCAAAGCCATAATTAAGGCAAGGCCGTTTGACCAAGAAAAATGACATGTATGATAGCTTTCCAGAATATCCTTCAATTCATGCCACTCTCTTCCCATCTGTTTCGCCCCGGTCGCGGAAAAAAAAGCGGCGGGGGGAAGGTCGCTCGTTCGCCTCAGCCTCGCTGAGGCCACTGGGTATCACAGGCACTGGCTTTGCATCCTGCGAGGCGGTCGGCGGTCGGCCGAGTCGACGAGTCGGCTCGGACCGGCGTCGTTTTCTTGGCCGAGACACGGTGGTTCGAGCGAAAGGACGAAGAAGAGAGACCGGTGGTTGGGAGACGGTCGCATGCAATCATTATACAGATGAGTCTGAGATAGGACTGTCATATGACTTTTCATGTGCCAATTAAGGAGTTCGGGAGTATGAAAATCCCTCCGCAGGATCCAAAGCGATCAATCACAACCGATGCACCATCCCGACGCGTTGCTGCGTTGCTTCGTTGAGGTCGGCCGTTGGATCTCCAGGGTCGACCGTCACTTCATCCATCTCCACTAGTAACAAGGGCATCGCTACTAGTAGCAAAGGGCAGCGCTACTAGGAGCAAGAAGCTACTAGTAACTCCTGGCCATACTAGTACTGTACTAGTAACAAGAAGCTACCAGTATCAGTATCAAGAAGCTATACTAGAAGCTCCCCATCTCTTCACTGATCGGGTCTGGGTGTTGGGAGCGTCGGCAGCATTTTTCGTCCGGTCTTCACGTCCGTCTGAGCTGACCTGCGCAGGTCTTGTGGACGGTGTTTCCATCTGTTCCATTCTTTTCCTAGTAGCTTCTAGCTACCAGTAGCTTGTTAGTAGCGATGGCCTCTAACCTAAGGCATGCACCTAGTATAGCTTCTATAGATGCTTCCAGCTACATTTCAGAAACATCTGGCGTCCTTTGGCAAGGCCACATTCAGGAACGCCCGAATCTGTGGCACCAGTGCTTGTCGGAAAATCATGATCCTGGCGAAACGCGAAGAAAATACCAACGCAGCGCATCAAGGAACCTGTTGAACAATGACATCGATAGTCGATAACCATGTCATTGATCTCGATCACGTGCAAGACACCACACCACATGGAACCACCTCAACTTCCGAGGGCCTGGACGAAGCTTTCAGCCGACCTCTGACCGAACATGGGATACAGATCCCAGTCAAAGACTCCAAAAAGCATGGTCTTGGACGGTGACCCGAGTGACCCGGAATATCCTTAATACATCAGCTTAAAAAGAAGAGTCGAACTGGACTTCGAAAAAGGGGGATCGACTGGGGCCTGCGATATATCGACTGCATGGGGGGTTGATCGACATCGATGTCGATGTACATCCGAATGGTCCGACGTCAAGTCGGGACCCCTGGTGCGAGTCGGTCTGGCTGCTTGATGCTGCTTGCTTCGTTGCAGTCCGCGCTTTTCGAACATACACTGAATTCGTTGCAGAAAAAACAAAAGGGTCTCATCTCAGATCTGCATTATTGTGGATATATATATCGTATTGATATATCCCTTTGCACCGTGAAAACATCACACATTCCAAATCATTCCAAGCTGTTTCATCAGGTAGTTCTCTCCGTCTTGCAATGGAATCCACCTCACATCCTCACACTGGTAAAAAGAATGGAACCAGAACCACCAGAACACGTGCGGCGAAGATCGGCGAAGTAAGTTCCCCCAAAAAAAACACATCCTCCTGAAAGTCTGAGCCATCCACTGTCCAAGCTCCAAGCATTGAGCCGAACATTCATGAACATTCCAAAGCCCCCAACAGATCCCAGCTCGCGCCCTCGCGCCACGTGCCGCACCCTAAGATCTTGCAGTACTCCTCGGGCGTGAGGCGCAAGCCACCCGCCTGGGCGGAGAGGTCGGAGCCGTGGGCTCTACGGGCCGAAGCGAAGAGGTCGGAGCCGACACCGCAGGTCCGCAGGGGGGTCCCGGAGCCGAAGCAAACCTTATGTATGGGTTCAGGCCCGGATTGTAAGGGGAAGACACATTTTGGGTGCTAATCTAAGTTGATCTACATTGAATCCATCCATGAACGAAAGCATGTCACCATGGTTCACGGACGAGGTCTGTGCCTTGATGTCAGGATCAAACGCTTTCGAAGTTGCAGCTCTCAAGTTTACTTCTCAGGTCTCAGACCGCAAAATGTCTGCCTACTTGTCTGCCTACTTGTCTACTTCTCAGGGGATCCAGGTAAGCCACTCTCTAGCTGGTATAGCCAGTGGTTTCAAAGACAACAAACATATAGAAGTAGAAACCCAGGGATCCACTAAGATCCATCAAAGCCAAGCTTGGCAGATTTTGGAGCAGCACCGTCGGATGCAGGACGCATCCATCCACATCCGTCGCTCGGTTGACCATTGCTAGGCCGGTCATGTTGTTGCTCGACCATCTGAGGTGCTGGCAATCACTGTGCAGTGAAGCGTGTAGGCAAACAGTTCCACCCCGGGGTAGGTCGCTGCATTCCTCGGCGAGAAGCCGATGCCATGTTGGCCGTTTCCCCGAGTTTCAGGGGAAACGGGTGCGGCACGGGGTTGGCTGAACAAAACAGAGGTCACTCAGGTTCTGGCCTGCAATCCGTACCTAAAAATGTGCTCGAGTTTGTTTGTTTTTTGGCTTAATGCTGGTGTTCATGTTTTTGCTCGGCTTCATGATCTTTGTAGGCTTTTTGCTTGAATGCATTCCTGAAAGTAGAGGGTGCTTGATGTTTCTTAATTCAGATTGAAGATAGTAAAGTCAACAAAACACCTGTGACCTCCCTCCGCTCACCAATCCCAATCAGTAATTGTGCGAAGATCTTTAAAGAGTTGGGTACAGAAAA